TTAAGTAAAGGACTTGTGTCGCTAAAGTTTCGTCGGAACGAATTTACGGAAAATTAATTAACAAACGGAGACGTAACAATATATATATATATATCAAATCAAAAACTTTCATAATGAGACTTAAAAATAACACAAATTGCCTATTTACAATTAATGTATGTTAGAGTATTTAAACTGTGGATTGATTGATTTATTTCATGGAAAATTATGTTAAGGTGTTGAGTTATCACCCTTTTCCTATTCAGGAATTTTCTACCACATTGGTATACTAGTTCTTAGCCTAGCTATAGATTGTTCACCAGTAATCCAAGTATACTACTTTAATTTATGAAAAGGTTATTTGCAATATTTCAAGATGCTTAGCTTGTCTGTCTACTCCAGATTTTCATAATCTACATCAAGATATACCACTATGTAAAATGGATAATGTATTTTATCTGTGATATATATGGTCTAAAGTATGTAGGACATGCAACTAATCACTTGCATTTAAGGATTAATCTACATAGTTCTCAAAGTAATAAGGATTTCCCTCATTCCATTGAAATAGACTATTTTAACAAGCATTCATTTACTAATGTAAAAATGTCTATCTTATAGAAAATAAATAATGTTAATTATTATCATCAGAACTAGAAGATTATTTTATTTTGAAAGAAAACTCTTTATCTTTTTGTATTAAACCAGGATTTTCAAAACAAAAGTATTGACTCTTTAAGAAAAATACTTGTATTAGACTTTTATTTCTGATTAATATTTATAACATCAAACATAATAAAAAATAGGGGTAAAGGCAAAAATTTAAAAAATGGATTAATTTTGAGAATTTCTGTAAAAATTTAGATTCTGCTTTTGACAGGTCTGTTAATATCTTAATTTGTAATATAACAATTATTTAAATTAAATCATGGAAAACTTAAATATTTGTTATAATATATGTTAAATTTACAAAATGCACTTTAAATAAAAATACAGTTATCACTAATTTGAAGAAAACTATTAAAAATGGACTGTAAGTACAGGTTCTACCTGTTCTAACTTACCATTTTTGTATTCAACTCCAAAATTGCATAAAACCCCTATTAAGTTCAGGTTTATTACAAACTGTTTAAACACTTACTAAATTTGTATCTATTGTACTTAATAAAATTCTAAACGTTTTCTCTGAAAAAATAAAGTTACTGTCATCAAATGATTTGGACCATTTTTGTTCCAACAACTTTTCTGGATACCAGCCTTTTCTGCTGTGGCACCTCCCCTGTGTTGAAGTTTCCAGCATTGAGC